CATAAAAGATTATGAAATTTTCTACAGACCTTTAGTTAGAACCCTACTTTCTATGTGAAGTTGCCCTTGTTACAGAAGCAATATTAATATAGAACTCTTGATACACTATATTGAATGTGTATGAGAGCAATAATACGAGTCTCTACTGCTTATAACTAAAATATCGTCTACATGAATTAACAAGTAAATAGTAGTAGGTACATCATAGTAAATAAATAATGAGTAGGCCTCTATTGAAGCCATAAAGCCCAAATGTTCTAAATAAGTATAGAAGTAAATAAACTAGGCCCAAGTTGTTTATTTAAGCCCATAAAGAGACCATTTGAGCTTGCAGACATATTAAAATCTATTTGGTTCGCAGAAAAGATTTGATGAGAAATAATTTTCCATGTCTTTTCCCAAGGAATGAGAAATGAAAATTTTCTTTCCCATGTTTAGTAATCCTGGGAAAGTAATCAATAAATATCACTTTATTTCATTTTTCATATTTGGGTTGCATAGAAATGTGAATTTACAAGTTCATCCACTAGCGAGAGGCAACAACAATTCACATGAATGAAAATAAGGGCTTTTCTACAAAATATAAATGTAATGACAGAAGGACCTACTAATCCAACAAATTCCTAACCTTATTCAACAAACCATAATCAAAACAGACACATAAAGAGTAACTTGCTACAATCCGAATGCTTGGATTTTCTCTACTAGGATTTGCTTGACTTTTCATGTCTACATGCTACCTCATTTAAATTCAATCTAAGGGTTTGAGGATTGACACATCACACTTGAACAAAAAATTGCAAATTGCCTCACACTTCAAATAATAATTGCCTCAAGAATCTAATGCCAAACCTATAACATCCCTCCTCTTCCTTCTTCTTCTTCCCATATGAAAATAAGTATTGTCAATTATCAAAGATGCAATCTTTCACAACCTCTTCTCTTCACATATGAAAATCAAGTTTGCCAATTCTCAAAAATCCAATTCGTCAACTAGTTTAGTAGTTTCAAATCACAAACATTATATGATAAACATTGAATAGAATCGAACAAGAAACAAAATTAAAGAAAGGAAGTAGAGAGGCTGCAAATAGGGTTTAGGGTTGCAAATTTGCTGTGGAAAACGGGTTCCATAATGTTATTTGTGAAGCTGATTGTAGGGAAGTCCTTACAACCATCAATGGCTCTATTTCTAAAGGTAGGTGGGAGATCTACCTTGTCCTAAGTAATATTCACGACACTCGGGCCAATTTCCAATCTTGCTCGTGGTCTTGGGTTCCTAGAACAGCCAACCAGGCGGCTGATCATTTGGCAATGCTTGCTAATGGGCTCCCTTGCCACTTAGGAAGTAACTAATTTGGAAGCTTCAAGGCCCCTGATGTTTTTGCTGTTTGCAGCACCGTCTCTGTTCCTCTCAAGCTTTGTTTGCATGCTTTTATTTTGTCGTTCAGCATGTTTGCTTGAACTTCTCTGCTTGTATCCATCTAGTTTCATTTATAAAAATAATATTTTATTCAGAGAAAAATAAGGTGATGAGTTATAGCTGAGAAAAAAATGAGTTTGAAGGGGTAAAGCAAAATTTATTAAATTTAAATTAGTTAATATGACATAGCTTAGTTGGTTGAGCTCTTCCACCTCCACTATGGGCAGAGGTTCAAAACCCCCAAGCACCCAATAAATATTTTTGTAACCCCTCCCCCATCGCTTGTATTTAAAAATATATAATAATAATAAAAAGACTGTACTTCCCTTGTTTCCAAAATCATAGTTTCACATAGGGTTGGGCAATTAAACCGCCAACTAGAGAAACCAACCGAACCAAACCGATCGGATTGGTTTGGTCCGGTTATTTATTTATTAATATTTAATATCAGGTTCAAACCTGACCGGACTGGTCAATCCGGTCCAATTTACGGTTTGATATTTTAAATGAACCGATTTACTCAAATCGAACCGTTACTGTTGGCAAGCCAAATATTACAAAAATGTTTTGCAACAAAGGGGTTTGAACCCCACACCTCCATGTAAGAATCGTTCTTGCTTTCCACTAGAGCAAACAACCTTCATGTGTAATCTTTCCATAAATATGATATATAATTAGTTAGTTAGAATAATAAATATTATAAAAAAATGTGAGAGCATGCAAGTGGACATGACCTGATGCATGCACTGCTGCATCTGCACCTAAACCAATGTTGTTTTTCTTTCTTTTGTATTTTTTTTATTCTTTTTCTTCTCCCAATATCTCACCTTTCCCAACCTCTTCATTTTTTATTGTTTTCCCATCTTCTTCTTACTCTTTCTGTCACTGTACATCTCTCTATCTCTCCCTCTCTCTTTTTTATTTCTTTTTCCTTCTCCTCTCCATCTCTCTTTCTTTTCTTCCTCCTTCCTCAATCTCTGCAATTTTTTCCTCTTCTCCCATATCTCTCTCATTTTCCTATTTTTTTCCATGCTCTCTCTTCTTTCTATTGTTTTCCATCGCTCCCTCTCCTCTTCCTTCTTCTCTTTCTTCCTCCTGCTGTCTGTCTTCTTCTTTTCCTATTTTTTTTTCCTTCTTCTTCCTTTCTCCCCTATCTCAATCTCTCCCTCTATCGATTTTTCCCCAGCTTTCTTCTTGCTCTCTCTCTTCGGCCTAAACTCGAAATCGAACCAAACCAAACGACAAACTCCGATTAACCGGAATGGTCGGTTTCATTGGTTATGGTTCGGTGTACGGTTTCAAAAATAGCTAAGTCGAAGCCTTCGGTTCGATTTCGGGTTGAGCCCAAAACCGAACCAACCCGAAACGAGCCTAGGCACACATATGAAAAAATAATTTATAGAAACTACAAATAGAAAATTTTAGGAAAAACTACATAAAATCCCCTAAATTATAGGGTTATTTTCAAGTTTATACCCAATTTTAGAGACATTCACGAGTACATACTCAAACTCCCAAAAACCCTACAAATTGCCCCCTCCGTTAGCCAAGCTATTAGTGAATCTGTTAAATGCTGATGTGGCAAATGTGGGCTCTATTTTTTTAATGACATGGATTCCTAGTGGACAAAACAAATAATAAAAAATTATCTACTTTTGAAAATATTAAAACCCACTATTTAAAATTAAAAAAATTAAAAAAAAATCTCTCTCCTCTCCTTATAGCCCCTATCCACCCTAACCACCACCCAAGCATACT